TCTCTCTCTCTCTCTCTCTCTCTCTCTCTCTCTCTCTCTCTCTCTCTCTAATAAATAAAACAATTTAAAAAAAAAATAAAATAAAAGCAATTCAGCAAGCCCCTGTTTCAAAAATTAAGGACTAGGAATATAACTTTGGAATTTAGTACCTGCATACCATTCATTGAACCCCTGGGTTCAATTAGCAGTATGGGGGGGGGCAGTATTCAAATGTTGTTAAGCTTCTAAGTACCACACACTTAATTACTGAAATTACTAGGGCTCAAGAAAGAAATGGTTCATGCTTAGCAGGATGGTACACACCTATAATCCCAGCATTCTAAAAGGCTGAGGTAGGAAGATGGGAAATCCCAGTCTAATTTGGGCAGCTTAGTGATTGAGATCGTCTCAAAATGAAAAATAAAAATGGTGGGCCGAGGCTATAGCTCAGTGGTTTAACTGCCTGCCTGGCAAGCACAAGGTCCCGAGTTCGATCCCCAGTATCAATCAATCAATCAATCAATCAATCAATCAATTTTTAAAAAATGGTGGGAGTTACTGCTGAAGCCCTGAGGTTCACTAAATCTCGAGTAGTCAAAACAAATAAATACACAAACATGATAATGCACTTATGGGCTATCTATGGGAAAGACATTGATAATTCCATTTGTAAATGTTTCACAACCAAGTCTGAGATCATAGCCTGCTGTCCTCTCCTACCCCAAGCAAAATACAAAAATAAGTTCTCCTCTCAAACTCACAATCCTTCTGCCTCAGTCTCTCAAGTAGCTAGATTTTTGTTTTGTTTTGTTTTTTGGTCAGCTTCAAATGCACTTTATTTCACAAAGGATAACATGCAAAATAATGCACAAGAAATACTTATAAAAGTTAATTTACAAAATTAAAATGAAATTAACCCTATCTCTGAGCAGAAAAAAATGTGAAGACTCTGTAACCAAGAATCATCTATCTCTGATAGGAGATGAGTAAATATTCCCTCCTAGCCATCCTTTCCTTATCAACCAAGTAGCTAAGGTTACAGGTGTGTGGCAGCACAGCCAGCTATGGTCTGAGTTCTAAAGACACAGAGAGCAGGATATATATAAAGTGCTCGTGTGACAAAAAACAAAAAGAAAAAAAAAAGTGTGAAAACTGCAGATTGAAAGGACTGAAAAAAGGCAAGAGTAGAGAAAGCTCAGAAAGTGAGTCAAGAGTGTGACACAAAGGAGCAGGGCGAGATAAGCCCAGATCACAAAGGACTTTGCAGAACACATGAAAGTTTTATCATCAGAGCACCATGAAGTCAATGAAGCACTTCAAGCAAAGGGATGACAAGGTCAGACAGTCATTTGAAGATGACTGAACTTTGGAGCGTAACCTAGAGGGGGCTGAGGTAGTTGCAGAGACTTCCATGCAGCTGTAGAGAACACCGAATGCTGTGAACAGCATACACACACATAGCAACCTGGGTTTGATTTCTGATATGCTGACTTTGAAGAGCTTTTGAGACATTTATGGAGGGATGCTGAATAGACTCAGAACTGAGTTACAGATATAAATTTGGGTGTCAATTGATAGGTGGTAACTAAAGCTGCTCTCTTGAGTGCCTAAGACAATCTTGAGTGACAAAAGAGTATTAAAACCAAGCCTAAAGCAACTCTTTAACAGTTAATGACTCAAAAAAAACAAACATACAGAAACCTGAAAGAAAATAGGACATGAAAAATATAAACCTTCATACATACTTTGATTTACACACTTAATTCTTTCCATGATTCTGGTCATAAACCAAGTTAGGCAACAATGTAATCAAATTTCCCTATGAGATCAACATTATATATAACCACTGAATTTGATCTGCTTCTCCTCGATTTGGTCTACAACTAGATCAACATATACTAGGTTATTATTTTGAAATTTAGTGCAAAGAATTAAGTTCATGAACCAAGCTACAGAACTATGCAGCAGAGTCAAGGAAACAAAGTGTTTTGAGGGAGTGGCCAATAGTGCCAAATTCTGTTTAAATACAATGAAAACTAATGCTGACCACTGTATTTAACATCATTAATCTGTGATGATCTTGGTGAAAACTGAATAGACAGAAGCAGAAGTGGAGTGGGGTAAGAAGTAGCAGAGAATAACTCCAAAAGTGTATTACTATTCAAAACTTTTTCAAATGTAAATTACACATGAACTGAGCTGCAGTCCATTCTGTGAGTGAAATAAACACTTCCAAAATCTTTTTTTTTAAATTTTATTTATTTATTTATTTGTGTGTGTGTGTGTGTGTGTGTGTGTGTGTGTGTGTGGCCAGCTCAGCCCACCAGGGAGCGGGGCTAGCTGGCATGTGGTGCTGGGGGATTGAACCGCGGTCCCTGTGCTTTGCTAAGCTTGTTCTAAGTAGGTGCTTTAGACCACTGAGCCACCTCACCAGCCCACTTCCAGAATCTTGTAAGATCAACTGTATTTCTTACCCAGTTGTTTTCTTGACTTTGTTTTAGAATGAATTTCTTCTGCATCATCTAATACAAGGTTCATGTACTCATCAAAACCCTAGAAAAGTAAGTAAACCAAGTCATTTTCAAGTAAGATCATATCCGGATCATTCTAAAATATATACCCATCCCTCCGGTGATCTTCCAGCTGAAACACCGGAAACCTTCTTTTAAATAAGAAACAAACCATGAAGACCAGAATGTAATCTTACATATGTATGTAACACTCTCAGTGCTCTCCCCATGTTTGTTCTCCACAAACTACTATGCCTATTTGAAAACTGATAATAAAGGAGATCAATAAAATCACTACACATAATACCAGACTATCCTAACAGAATACTTCCAAGGATATTTCACTTTTAAAATATTACTTGGGGGGGGGGGGCACAGCCAGTTAGCTCAACAGACTAAAGTGCCTGCTTAGGCAGAGCACAGGGGCTGGAGTTGGATCCCTGGCACCACAAGCCAGGCTGGCCCTGTCCCCGAGCTACACTGAGACTTGGATTGAGACTGGGCATGGTAGTGTGTGTATATAATCCCAGCACTTGGGAGGTTGAAATCAGGAGGATCACTATGAGTCCGATCTGTATAGTGAGACCCTGTACTAAATACATAAAAAATAAAATATTACTGTGGGTCCGGCAAGATAGCTCAGCAGACTAAGCACCTGCTTACGCAAGCACAGAGACCAGGGTTCAATCCCTGCCCCCAGACGCACTGGGCCAGTGACCAAGTACAGATGTGGTGGCGCAGGCCTGTAATCCCAGCACTGGAGATGTCACTATGAGTCTGAGCTGCATAGTGAGACCCTGCACCAAGTACATTAATTAAATAATAAATGAGTAATAACATATTACTGGGTGGCTGGCCAGACATGGTGGTGCACACCTATAATCCCTGCACTTGGGAAGCTGAAGCACAAGGATGACTACAAGTTTGAGACTAGCCTGGGCCACAGAGTGAACTAAGGCCAGCCAGAACTGCGTATCAAGACCCTGTTTCAAAGACATAAACATTACTGGGGGCCAGGGCTATAGCTCAGTGGGGCAAAGCACCTTGCATAGCAATTGGTGAGTTCAATTCCTGGTGCAAAAAATTAAAAAAAAATTCCTGGGGGAGGGAATGGACTTTAATAATAGGGAAGATGTTAAGGACCCTGGATTTGATGCCTATCACAACCCAAAATAAGTAAAACCACTATTAGAATATCTTGTTATCACTTGTAAGCACAAGGACATGGGTCTGATCCTGGCACCACATGTGAACCCTGCCCCAGGCGCTAAGCCACCCACCCCATGAAACAGAAGGATCAAGAGTCCAAGGTGAGACCCTGTACCAAATACATCAAAGGGGGGGGCAGCAGCGGGGGAAAAAAATTAATCTGCTATCTGAAATATTTACTAACTCCACCTGCTCTACTCAGGGATCACTAACACAGAATATGGTACTGCATCAATCCCATTCCTCTCTTTTGTCACCTCCCTCCAATACTACTATCACTGTTTATAATTTTTTATAAGTTTAATTTCCCTCCTTTTTAAATTATCCAAACCTTAACACTCAGAACAACAAAAAAGGCTATTGTGCCCAAAAAGCTTTCTTTGGGTCAGGTCTTTCACTTGAGGTGGCTATTTTCTGTAAGATCTATTAACAAAGCTCTCTATGAAAGTCCGCATAAATTCAATCCCCGGTTCCACCTAAAAAAAAAAAAAAAAAAAAAGTCCGCATACTCACAATAATACAGCCCTCTATCCGCATATTCACTTGCTCATACAGCCACACCTGGATCCGGGATCTCTGAAATAATGACAAAAAAATATATACATTTTTTTCATGACTACAACCTTTAAAATGCTTTCACTAGTCACAGAAAACCTACCACTCCCAGAAAAACAGTATTTCTCTCATTTTTTAATGTGTAAAATATACAAGATTAACTCAAAAGCCCCTTAAAAATAAAAATGTAAAATGCTATTTATGCATATAGATCTATTTTACAGAAAATATGCAGTTATTTTTAAAAACCATCTACCTAATTTTAGACATATTCCCAGATTACTGAGGAACTGAAAAAAGTGTTTTAAAGATGCAGCCAGGGAATATTTCCAAGTAAGAAAAGTTAAAACTATACTTTCTTCATACTTAGCTTTTAAGTATATAGAGCATTTGTCTGTTAAGAATGATATTAAGTGCTTTCAAAAATGTGTATATTCTTTCAAAAATAGCTGCTTCAAGAAGAAACCCTACTTATATAAACACAGAAATGAAACGTGAAACATTCTAATGAATATAAACTAAGAATTTTAACTAACGAATCCACATCTAAGACTGGTAGCCTATTAATTTTCCCAGTAACCTACAGATTAATGTAGGTTAGTAATAGATGTAATGGTATTCTCTCTAGCACTCTTAATATTTTGAGACAAGCTCTGGCTAAACTAACCAGGCTGAGTCCAATCCTGCCTCAGCCTCTCAGAGTACCGGGATTATAGACTTGTGTCACCATGCTCCACCTTTTGCACTTCTTACCACTTCCAGTCTCAATACACTTAAGAGCGAAAACTGTTCACGGAACAGCACAAAGCAGTAACTCCTACTGACTAAGGGATTCTTTCTTATCTAGTGTGGCAAAATACAGGATTCAAAGAGAAATATTTCCACGTTCTCAATTTTCCGTGACTCACACCTAGCAATCCTCAATTCAGGAGAGATCCTCAATTCTAAGGATTAAATTTAAAATGGTTTGCTAGGCAGGAAGGCACAGGCCTGTAATCCCAGCACTCGGGGGTCCTCAAATTCTGCTTAAGTATGATTGCAAACCAATAAACACATGACTTACGTACATTCTGCAAGTATCTGAAGATGAGGTTCTGCACCACAGGGATTAAGGAAAAAAACACACAGCACACTCTGCTCCCCGAAACCAGAAAGTCAACCCAATTCCTCTCATCTTCGTTTTCTGAAGGCGAAGTCGGGTAGCTCCACGGGCAGGGTCGGAACCGCCACGCTTTGGGGAGCCCGCGGAGACCGAGACCCCCTTTCACACCCCAATTCTCCGAGCCCTTGGCCCTCCTCCGCCCACAGGCCGCAGCGGCTCGCGCTCCGGCGCAGGACCCGCCTCCAGTCCCCCGCCGCCCGCTCCGCGCCTTCCCAGGCCCGCCCAGGCCCGCCTCCCGTTACAGCTTCCACAGCCCGCGCTTTTGCCCCGCCGCGGTCGCCCCGCAGGCTCAGGGGGCGCAGGTCGCACTCCGCTCCCTCAGGCCTGGCTTCCGCCCACAGCCGCCCGGGCCCCGACGTGTCGCTCAGGATACGATGGGCTGCACCATCACCTTCTGGACTTTCTGGCCCTGACCCCGGTACGCCATGGCGGAGCCCGACAAAGACAACGCCAGCCACCACGCTACCTCTAGCGGCAACTTCCGGAGGGAGAGCCCGAAAGCGGAAATGAGCGGCTCCCAAGAGGCGACGGGTCAGCTCCGGAGGACGGCCTCTCTAGCCACACGAGAGCGATGCTCCTATGCTCGAAGGCCTCCGGAGGAGGCCAAACTGAGACGACAAGGCTTTGCAGCCTGGTCTTATCACACAGCAGCCACCTGGAGGGAGAGGGCGGACGTGCCGAGGAGGGGCTAGAAGCGTGGACGCCGGCGCTCTCGCTTCTCGAGGGACCTGCTTTTTTGCCTTGCGTAACTCTGTGAGGCTGATACAACAGGGTTACAAGTTCAGGTCCAGCCTGGGAAATTTCTGATTTAGCACGACCCGCTCTCAAATAAATACTGGGGGTACAACTCAGTGGGAAGGCCTTAGGTTCAATCCCCAGTACCACCACTAGACAAAATTTTTAAAAATACACTTCCTCATGGGATTAAAGGAATTTTTTTTTTTTTTTTTTGTGGAACCGGGGATTGAACTCAGACCCTTGTGCTTGCCAGGCAAACGCTTATTCTACTGAGCTTTCTCCCCGGCCCGGATTAAAGGAATTAATAGTGCATAGATTCTGTTCAAACTACATAGGATTTTAGACTGATAAAACCACAAGAAAGTGAAAATATGTTGAAAGTACACTTAGCTGGGTATGGTGGCACACACCCGCAATCCTAGCACTCAGGAGGCTGAGGCAGTATTGCTGTGAGTTCGAGGCCAGCCTGAGCTATGTAGAGGGCTCAAGGACAACTTGAACTACATAGTGAGACCCTATCTCAAAAAAAAAAAAAATTACTACAACCTAGAGAAGAACATAGTTTAACAACAGCAAACTGTAGCGTAGGTGTTGTCCTCTGGAGATTGCAAGGCTGACGCACAGCCACACAGCTGCATCACCAAAATGTCTACAGCACAAGGCTCACCTAGGAAAAGCTCGACTTTCAAAATGCAAAGATTTCTACTGAGTGCATACTGGTTTTGTACCAGCTATAAGTCAAACCATTGTTAAGTCAGGAGTCTGTGTGTGTGTCTACATGGCTAAGGGCCCCAGAACTGGAATGAATGAGATGTGATTTAGTTAGGTGAGCCTACCTTGTGTGGGTTGGCTGAAATTTCATTTAATTGGAAAATTCACTTTATAGTATTTAAGTATCAAAAGGACTTGCCTAAGGGAGTGACCACCTATCAAAAAAAGCAAAAATAAAAATTTGCTTACCCAACGTCTTCTTTTCAACAAGAACAGCATAGTACCAACTCTATAAGACCATTGAGATAAAAGTGACTTTTAAAATACACAAAACTGGGGCCAGGGAGATGGCTCAGTGGAATAAGTGCTTCTCTGGCAAGTGCAAGGGCCTGAGTTCAATCCCTGGTTCCGCCAATAAATAAATAAATAAAATACAAAAAACTTCCAGCATGATAGCACACCCCTGTAATTCCTATCCCATCCCTGTAATTCCTATCCCATCACTTGGGAGGCTGAGGCAGGAGGATCAACTCCAGTTCAAGGCCAGTCAGAACTACACAGCAAGACCCCGTCTCGAAAAAACCAAACTGGGGGGCCGGGGAGATGGCTCAGTAGGAATAAGTGCTTCCCTAGCAAGCGCAAGGGCCTGAGTTCAATTCCCAGTTCCGGAAAAAAAAAAAAAAAAAAAAAATGGGCCAGGATATAGTTTGGCGGCACAAGGGCCTGTCAGGCAGGCACAAGGTCCTGAGTTTGATCCGCAGTACCAAAAAAAGAAATATAGTGTTTTGTATTTTTAGATCAACAATGTTGGCCCACCTAGAATTTTATCTGGGCATACCTGGAACTGATCTTTCTAACTTCTAAGGATTTAGTGAAGCAGAGTAACCGAAATTTTCCTTCAGAATTGAGGATTAAATCCAGGGTTTTACATATGTTCAGCCAAGTGTTCTACCACTGAGCTACATTCCCTGTCCTTTTTTTTTTTTTTTTGGTGGAACCAGGGATTGAACTCAGTCCCTTGCACTTGCACTTACCAGGGAAGCACTTACTCCACTGAGCCATCTCCCTGGCCCATTTCCTGTCCTTTTTGAGACAGGGTCTTGCTAAATTGCTCAGATTGGCTTCAAACTTGCAGTCCTCCTGCTTCTGCCTCCTGAGTGGCTAGATGTCCTGGCTACTTTTCTCATTGCAGAGACAAAATACCTAACCTTTTATGTTCCATGCAGGCTGCCCAGGGTGGACACCCTTAATCGTAGCATCACACAGCCTATCACAGCTGCCTTCAAAACTCCCCACCTACGACCCTATGAGGCTTCATGGGGACAATCTAGATAACAGTCATTAACACTGGGATTACAAGCATTTGGCACTATGCCCAGTATTTAAATAGATCTTTTAAAAAAAATATGTTTACTGTATTTTAAATAGATTTTTTAAAAAATTAGTTTATGCCACAGCAAAAATATGAGCAGCCCCCTGAAAAAGAAACAAATCAGGTCCTCAGTGGATGACTGAGGGATGGTTAGAGGTTACATTAAAGCAAACTCTGCCAAGTTACTAGTTACTGCTCAAACTCTAGCTCTACCCAATCACAAACTTATTTTGCCTACAGCACTGTCCACTTAACATTTACACCTGCTTCACTCCTGTTACTTTTTAAATTGTTTCCAAAGTACTTCAAGAGCAGGGATTTGGCTTATACCCACCTATCCCTAATGGCCACAGTGTTTAAGGATAACTGAGTTTTGCATGCTCTAATCTGAGCTCCAAGGAGAGAGAATTACAAATACCACATGGCAATTAGCGAAAAAAAAATTGTTCTGAGGTACTGGGATTGAATCAAGTGCCTTCCCTGAGCTATATGCCCAGCCTGTTAAATTTTCTGACAGAGTCTTGCCACATTGCTAAATTGCCCAGTCTGCATTCATCCGCCTGCCTAAGTGTCCTAGAGCACTGAATCATAGTACTGTGTCGCCTCTTGGAGTCTCAGCTTTTAATCTTGATCAGTCCTTGAGCTCCTAACCAAGTGATTCCAGGGAAGGATTCCTTCCATTTTGGTACTTTCTCCTTGAAACTTTGTCCTTTGATCCTTTTGAATGTCTTTAATCCATCTGATTCCCTCATTCACGTAATTCAACAAACAGGAGTCTCTTTTTTTTCAATTAAAAAAAAAACACAAATCACTGTTCCTTGCCTAGTTTTTATCTTGGCTCTGCTTTCTCATATTCATAGCTCTACAGCCTGCCGCTTCATTCCTGAGGACAAATCTGAGGGATGGGACAACACTAATTTTTAATTCACTGTTCTTTGCTTATTACCACACACTCTTCAACATCTTAACCATTAAACCTAACTAAATCAAAATAGTAGCCCCACAAAGTATGCCTTGTGAGTCCCATTTTTTAAATATAAAATTGCATCCTGGATTTTTAAAAATTTATTTGTGTGTGTGTGTGTGTGTGTGTGTGTGTGGCCAGCGCAGCCCACCAGGGGGCAGGGCTGGCTGGCATGTGGTGCTGGGGGATTGAACCGCAGTCCCTGTGCTTTGCTAAGCTTGTTCTAAGTAGGTGCTTTAGACCACTGAGCCATCTCACCAGCCCCTCATCCTGGATTTCTATTCTGAAGAATCATGGCTTAGTTTTTGTCCTATGTTGGACAATATTAGGAAAAACTACAAAGTCTTAGTACTTAGTAATTATACTTAGTTATTATGATTATTAAAGATCACATAATTAACACACTCATGTCAGGTTGTGGGAATGTTCAAAGATTTGAGCAGCTTCCCAAAAATCACACCATTTCATTTATTTTTTTGTGATATAAGAATTAAAGGGCTGGAGAGATAGCTCAGTAGAATAAGTGCTTGCCTGGCAAGTGCAAGAGCCAGAGTTCAAGCCCTGGTCCTGGAAGAAAAAAAAAAAAAAAAAGAATTGAAGGCAAAGTCTCATGCATGCAAGTGATCACTGAGTCAAGTCCCCAGTCTTTTTTGAGATAGGGCCTTGCTAAGTTGCCCAGCCTGGCCTTAAACTTAAGATCCTCCTTTTTCAGTGTTCTGAGTAGCTAGGATTACAGGTATATGCCACCATCTTTAGTTGTTTAAAATCAAGTTTTCTTTAAATTTTTTAAAGAGCTCCTTAAAAAGCACAAGCAATCAAACTTAATGGTACTTAAGAGTATGTATATATGATATATCCATTAAATAATCTGAACATGGTATCATTGAAAGCAGTGATTTTTCTTTCCATTTATTTATTTATTTTTGCGGAACTGGGGGTTGAACTCAGGCCCTTGTGCTTGTCAGGTTAAGTGCTTATACTACTGAGTTATCTTCCAGGCTTGTGTTTCACTTTTTTGGAAACAGGATCTCACTATGTGGTCCAGGCTGGCCTCTAACTAGTGGCACCACTATGTCCAGCTGTTCTTTCAATGTAGTGCATAATTTAATGTTAAAATAGGCATTGTAATTAAAAGTATTCAATAAATGTTACTTTAGGGTTACTTTCAAGTGTAAGACTCTGTCAAAAAAATTCAAAACTTATATTATCTATTAAACATGATTGCTAAACTATTAAATGCTAAGTCATAAAATATTTTTAATATTTTTGGAGTTTTTTTCTGGCAAAATTAAGGTAATTCTCCCTCCTCCCATTGGGTAGCCTTCATACCAGTCTGTGTCCCCAGCCCTTTTTAAAATTTTGAGGCAGGATCTTATTAAGTCATTCTGGCTGGGCTAGCTTGTGATCTTCCTGCCTCAGCCTCCTACAGTGCTGGGATTACAAGCATGTACCATCATGCCTGGCAAAGGCACAATTTTAGGAAAGGATCAATATAAATCCCTTGATCTGTTTATATCAATTATAAGTACTTCAGCCCCGTCTATGCTGGCTCCAAATCTTGTTGAGATGAAAGCACACTGTCACATGGGAGATGATCCACTGGGATCTAGGGCAAAAGTCAGAACTCCGGGTCACTTACCTCCAGATACAATTATGATCTGTAAAATTCTTGGTATTTCTGGATATGGTCAAACTGCAACATTTGTGTACATTTCTTATAAAACTGAAACCTACCATCACAACGGTGTAGCTTTTGTGAAAAGTTGATTGAATATTTTTGGAGTGCCAGCCCCAACCCATGCTGAGGATTGAGCCCAGGGCCTTGTGCACCTTGGTCATTAACAGGTTTGCATGTACTCTCATTTACAAGTGGTATACATATTGAAAATACCTGAACTTTGCTGAACTCAACTTATTTCAACTTTCTACTTTAAAATTCTAAGTCACTGAGGGCCAGGGAGATGGCTCAGTGAAATAAGCCCTTCCCTGGCAAGCACAAGGGCCTGAGTTCAATCCCCAGTTCCGCAAAAAAAAAAAAAAAAAAAAAAAAAAAAAAAAATTCTAAGTCACTGAATATAACTCAGACCCTTGCGCTTGCCAAGAAAGCGATTATTCCACTGAGCCATCTCCCTGGCCCATAAGATCACTTTCAAATCCTCCCTCATTTTAAAAACTTAAAGGCATTACTTCAGTTACATAAGAACTAAGTACCAGTGTTAGAAAAAGTTCTATATGCTAACCCTAGACCATACCCTAACTCTAAACTACACCCTAACCCGTACTCTAATCCTTACCATATCTTCTACCCTAACCCTACTATAACTCTTACCCAAACCCTAAGCCTAACTTGAACCCACACTGGAACACAAATCCAAATGCGAACCCATACACAGACTAGAGCCTTGAATGAGAATCCTAAACTTGAATAGAAACTCAAACACCTTCAACAGCAAACCTAACCCTAAACAAAAATCCAAACACAAATCATAATCCTAACCTGAACATGAATCTGAACACATACCAGAATATGAATTATGTATCTAACCTGAATAAACCCAAACACAAATCCAAACACAAACCCAGAATCACACCCACATACAAACCTGATTATCAATCTGAACCTAAACATGAACCCATCTTACCTAACACAAACCCACACAAATCTGAATACAAACCCAGAAATGAAACCAAAAAAACCTGAACATGATTCTAGCTTTAAATGCAAACGCAAACATGAATCTGAGTATTGATGGAAACACAAATGCCAAACCCATTATCAAGTAATTTACAAAAGTAAACATCAATGATCTTGCTATATCAATCATATATGAACTATGTATCAATTATATCTGTCCATTATATATCAACTATATAAAATGGATATGTATATAATTATATAAAATACTATGTATTACTGGTATTCCTCATTCAACAACCAACTTCTTTTCCTGTGACTAAGTCATTAAATGAATTAGTCAATAATTACAAATTGTACATAATGGGCTGGGGAGATAGCTCAGTGGAGTAAGTGCTTGCCTGGCAAGCACAAGGTCCTGAGTTTGATCTCCAGTGCCATTCCCCCCAAAAAAAGAAACAGGAGTTGTACATAATATGTACAATATTCAGTACAAAGAAATGAACTTGCTTTTATTTCCATAACTTTTACATGCAACACTGTAATATATAACAGGAGTACAGTGCCGTACCACACAGTACAATCATCAAGTAGTACTGTACAAATAAGGTGTATTGTACAAAAAAGGGCAATGAGGCTCTCTAAACAAGCTGCACTGAACTGTGCAAAGAAAAAGATGGGTTTTAAGTCCAAAGGGCAGGTTGTAAATCCAACCAGTGTGTCTTGATGATCATAAAGTTACTAAATGAGGAATATCTGTATATATCAAATGCATACACATGTTATGTACCTACTATAAGTCAATTATATTTGATATGTACTATGTCAACTGTTACATAACAATTAGGTATATCAGTATATCATTTTTGATAAGCCTAAGAAATATAAAATTGTATTCTCTGAATGACCTGTTTTAACATCCATAAAACAAGTCAAATACTGGATTATTCATCTAAAAAATATTAGAAGACAAATTTATATTTAAAATACAGAAACAACTCTCAATGTCAACAATAATCCAACGACAAAAAGGAAAACATTTGAACCACACAATACTATAAAAAAACAAAATCACACTGAGCGTGGTGGCGCACGTCTGTAATCCCAGCATTCAAGAGGCAGGATTGTTGCTTGAGCTACAAACAACAATCCTTGGGCTACAAAGTGAGCTCAAGGCCAGCTGGAACTACATAGTGGGACCCTATCCCAACAAACAAACCCCCACAAAATCACAGCAAATAACTCAAGGTACAAAATCCATATTGTTCCTGTGCATAAAGCATGAACCAGGGTTGGCAAGACACCTCAGTGGACTAAATGCCTACTTAAGCAAGCACAGGGACCGGGATTCGGTCCCTGGCCCACAAGCTGCACCAGCCCCAGCCCAGGATGTGCTGAGCCAGTGATGGCGTCCAGGCACAGTGGTGCATGCCTGTAATCCCAGTGCTGGGGAGGCTGAAAACAGGAGAATCACTATGAGTCTGAGCTGCGTAGTAAGACCCTGCACCAAAAAACCAAAACGAAACAAACAAAAAAACCCCCATGAACCCATTATAAATAGCAGTAAACAATCCCATTAATGACAGCTTAAAAAAAAAAAATCAAGTACCTAAGAATGAACATAGCAAAGGAATTAATCATCCCTTATAACAAAAACTGTAGTAGTGTTAAAAAAAAAAAAAAAAAAAGACTGAGATTGAAGACACTAAAAAATACACTCCCCATTCCTGGATAGGACTAGCCAACCAAATCTGTTAAAATGTCTATATTCCCACAAATAAAAGATAAGTTTAATGCAATTCTTATCAAACTACTTTCAGTGTTCTGTATGAACTATATTTGCACATGCCTACAATTCCTAAGAAATCAGGAAGCACCAACATTAGCCAAAGAACTCTTGGGTGCAAGAACAACACAGGTTGGAATGATTATTCCAGATTCAAAGTTATGCCAAAAACCTGAAGTACTAAGTATATCATGGTACTGGTACAAAAACACATGTTAATCACAACAGAATTCAGAATGAAGAAACAGCCCAACACTTCGGGTCATTTGATTTTGGACAAAAGGAAAAAGAATATATACTGGAGGAGTTTCTTCAAAATTAAGTGCTGGAAAAACTGGTTATCCCACTGCAGACATTAAAATCCAGACCCATACCTTGCACACATTCAATCAAAATCAAGTCAAAAGGGACAAGAGAAGTAGACATTAAACTTTTTAAAAACACTGAATCTGCCTGAAAATAAAAACAGATAAAGCCCTTGAAGACATGGGCATGGACAAGGACTTTCTGAATATCTCAACTGCACAAACAATATTAAGAATCAACAAATACGATTATGTTAAATTAAAATTTTTAAAGCAAACTGATTGAAGAAATACCAGCGTGGAAAAATCTTCTCAGGAGTTCTTGCACAGAGAACATTTAGAACATATAAAAAGCTCAAACACCCCCAAAATAAAAGATCAAATTTTTAAAAATGAGAACTCAAAATGAATATACTTCTCAAAACCACCATCCATTGCTACAAAATGCAGGAAAAAAAGTATGTTCAACACCTCTGCTCTTTTTTTTTTTGGCAGAACTGAGGAATGAACTCAGAGCCATCTCCCCGGCCCCTCAACACCTCTGTCCGTTAGAGAAATACAAATCAAAACCCACTTAAGTTTGAGCTTATTCCAGTAAGCATGCTACCATCAAGAACTCAAAACATAACAATGCAGGTAGGGTTGTGGGGAAAAGGGATCCATTCTGACTGGAAAAAGGAACAGTACAACCACTCTGGCGTCCCCTCCAAAACACTAAAACCAGAGTTCCTTTTGACTCAGGTATAACTCTTCTTGGTATCTTCCTTAAATAAGGACATTTTACAGATGCAGGCACCTTTTGTTTATAGCAACACAACTGCTAGAATACCTAAATATATTATTACCTAAATTTTGGAAATGACCTACATATCTTATTTTTTTTTAATCAAAAGTTATGCAGCTACAACCATGCACAGTTGCGATCCCGAGTTTACCCTTGGTGAAAGGTTTGCAAACCAAACTACACTGGCCATTTGTGTGAAAGGCCAGTGACAGTTCAGGCCAGTGACCAAGTTGAATGTGGTCTGAATATAAAACTCCTGAACTCAACGTCAAGACTTTCCTATACCAGTTTTATTTGAAACACAAATAAGTACTTCCTTTCTGTCATGGCAAATGATTCAAATAATGCTGAACATGAAACACTAATACAAGGAAGGTTTTAAATATGAAAGAAATTATTTTTAAAAAAGCAAAAGAATAACAGTTATATACAAAAGGTACCTGGAATCCTTGATGATTCCAAAAATGAAATGAGTTTATAAAATCTGTGGCGAAACCAGAACATTTCGCCGCTTTGGAGAAGGGCTATAATACAACATTCAGTCAGCTGAAGATGAATTGGTAGAGGTGTGTCTGTACAAAAATTTCAAGTCACTTTTTCTTGCACAGAATCATCCAGATCTTCCCAAGACTGAATGGGCAGTCCTGTGGCTTTCTTCCTTTTCCATATTTCCAACAAGGCTACATGAAGTTCAACTCTTGATGAGCCACTTACAACAGCAGTTCCTTAGGAGCCAACGTGACAGGTGGTTCAATTTCTTTATGAGAAACAAAACTAGCCACCTACAGCAAATATCAGAATGGACAAGTTCTTTTTCCTCCTCCTGATTATGTACAATGTCTCCCTTCAGGACTATTGTCCCCATCATACTTGTTCCTCCAGAAGTCCAAACCTTGAGGCGATATGAAGGAGACCAACATCAAGAAAAACTCAGAAATGAAGAAAACTGGAAGGTATACAATACACCCCCAGAGCATCTTAAAATCCCAGCTACAGTACAATTCAAAGTACGGCTACAGTCCTTAGAGAAGTAATTGCAGCTTTAATGAATTTTTCTTTTTTTTTTTTCCTTTCTCCTTTTTGTTCAGATGGTTAAAGGGCACCAAATAAATACTGGGCAAGAATAATCTGCTGGGAAATTTAAAAACTGGCCACTTTATATCTATGCGATAATTCAATGCCAGTGGGAAATGTATAAAGAAGAGAAGGGACAACTTTCATACTAAAAAATAATTCTTCTAATCCAGGGGAGCCCAGAAGTAGAAAACCAGGGACCCCTGAGGCACTTTAAAGCCTTTCTAAAAATTACAGTAATAATAAATTAGCTATTGCTCTTCAGAGGCTTACAGCGTAGCTTAAGCATGAAAATCAGGTCCAAAGAATTATATTCATATTTCAGTTTTCTTGAGCTATTCATGTCTCTTTAAAGCTTAGTTGAAAAATCCAAATACCATTAAAAAGACATATAATTTAACACAGACTGGGTGAGGTCTTTGTTTAGTGGTAGCATGGAATTTGGTCCACAATGGTAGCAGCTGTCTTTATCCATTTCAAACACAGGTGATATGGTAATATTAAGTACATTAAGACAATACATAAAAGAAAGGATACAACAAGCGGGAAAACAAACACGACAAACACCTCAAGGAATCACTAAGTTCTGACACCCTTTCAACTCAGAGCTCCTTCTCAGTCTTTTTCTCTTTTCCTTTTCTTTCTTTTTTTTTTTTTTTTTTTTTTTTTTTTTTTTTTTTTTTTTTTTTTTTTTTTTTTGGGTTTGTGTAGAGAAGGGTATTACAGAACTTTTTGCTCAAAGATGCTTAACAATGGCATAAAATGGTTAGCAAGGGACTTGAAAAATCTAACCCCAAGGAATCCAGAACACAAAGAGTAACTCAGAGGTATACTTCTGATCTGGGGCAAATTCAAAAATAAAGAAATAATCATCTCAGGTACATGTTAGAATAGATGAAATGAGTATCTTTTTGGTGAGTTCTGTTTTTTTAAGTTTTCTCACTATCACCTTTAGCTATCAATCATTTCTGAGAGTTCAAGCAGAAGGTCATCTTCATCTTTCCCAGGATCCAGGTCAATCTCAGCTTCTAATTTGCCTCCTGAAATCTCCCATATGAGCTTCTCAAAGTCATCCTCCACAGAGAGCGGGGGCTTTCCTGTTGAGGCAGAGCTGAGGCGACGTGTTTTTGTGGCTGGCTGGGATGAAGAAGGGCCAGATACTTCTAGGGGTGTGGGGTCTGAAGAAGACTGGGTTGGAGACAGCACAAGACTGTAAGTAAGAAATAAAAAGATGATCAGAATTAAGCACCCCTCTTTTCAATGGTTAGCTGAACATGTCTCAGAACTCAAAACTGAGTTGTTTCTGAGCACATATATAAGACAAAACTGTCTTACAGATTTGAGAGAAAGCATGTTTACAATTTAAGGGTATAATTTAGCCAGGCATTAAAACATCCCTTTAATAATGTAAGCAAACTATGAACAATGGCACCAAAGAATAATCCCGAATTTTATGTTTTCTTAACAATTCATTTGAAATGCAACAGATTTATTTAAATGTGACTAAACTTTTAAGGGTTATGCTCTACTGAGCATAAACAACATAGTGGCCTTAAGCTGGATCAGGAAAAATTACAATGTATTACCTGTCTCTAGGTGTTTCTGTCTCAGGCACAGTGACTGATTCAGCCTCAGAGGTCATTGGGACAACAGTCTACAAAAGGAAGATAACAGTAACAGTAACAGTAACAGTCAGGTATTTATATTGGAGCCCATCTATTTTCTTTTGCTCTGTTTTTAGAATAGTAGCTATATTCTCCCCAACTTTAGGGTGGTAGGGCTTCCCAGACCTTACATATGCTAGGTAAGTACTCTATCCCTGAGTTATACTGGCTACTGTGGTTTTTTTAGTTTTTGGGTTTTTTTTTCTTTGAGACAAGGTCTTACTGTGTAGTCCAGGCTAGCCTTGAACTCGAGGCAATCCTCCTGCCTCAGCCTCCCAAGTGTTAACATTACAGGTATGAGCCACTACACCTGGCAGTTATTATTCTTCACATGGAAGAATCTAAGAATCAAAAATCCAAAGGCTGAACATACAAGCAAGCAAAGTAACTTGCCACCCTAAAATTAGTTTTAAAAAATCCTGTTCTAACAATTCACAAATAAAGTGTAAACATAAAATACAGGTACAAACTAACAAGTGAAATGCATAGGAAACAGCAGGAAGTGCTACACACAGAGACCATGGAGAATCAATCTTCCTACCGCACTGAACAAAGCACCCAGAGGTGGACATGCTTCTTACCACAGCTGCTTTTTTGGCTGGGATTTCCTGCAGGGCACTGCTAGAGCTGAGTGGCTTCACTGCTGCAACAGTAGGATGCATCTCCACAGCCTTGCGCTTTTGAGCCAGTTTGGGAGATGAAACAACTTTCACTACAGATGGCTTCACATTTACTTTGGGTTTAGCTATAACAACCAGAAAATATCTAATTAACAGCCTAAAAAAAAAGAATAACTTTTACATGAAGAAGAACTCAATTAAAATACTGAAGTTCCTGATTGTACTAGAAATATGAAATACATAATAAATAAAATCCCAGACTGAAAGTCACCTACACAGGTGATTATAATACAATTTAGGTAATACTCAATCCATTTCACTGTTTCTTAAATTTGTTACTATTTTATTCCCTGGTATCTTTCTTCAAGATCAGAGGAATGATACAACATGGAGGAAGGTTTTTACAGAGCTATTTAAGTAGCAATTTAAACAACTAAGCAGCAATTTAAAAGCTCTTAAACAGCAATTATGTGTTCTCTTTGGCCTCATGTATACTAAGTAGCAATTAAATTCTAAGAAACACATCTAGTTTTGTCTTTGTATGGCAGTCTCAAATACTACTATCTATGAAGTCAGTACACAAATGAAAGTCAGTCCAACTGTTAGAAGGGAGTTCCTGAAACTTGATGCTGTAATTCTGATATCCTGAAGCAAGACACACTATAAAACCCACTCACCTTTACCCTTTTTTTCCAAGGACTGTGCTGCACACTTCACATTCAGTATTGAGTCCCCAATCCCTGAAGTTTCTACCTCTATCTTCTGGCATAACTTTGTAGAAAGCCGCTTGCTAAGGTGTCGTGTGATACCTGACACAGCAGTGAGCACAGGTTTCTCTACCACATGGGTATTGCAAGAGGCTGCATCTCCCCACAAAGGTGTCAAGACTGATTTTTCCTTCTCTGAGGTTCCCCTTTCTTGCTGTTTCTGTGTATGATTCTCTCTTATGGTCTCACATCTCTTGACTGGAGTTGTTGTGGAATCAACTCCTACAGTCTCTTCAGAAGCCTATTGGCAAATATAAAGTGACAAAATTAAAATTAGTACTTCTAATTACCTATGATTTATAAAGTACCACACTAACACTAAAGCTAAGCAGTGTTACATGATTCAGAAAAGCCCCTAGACATTACACAAAGAACAGAATGCTAAGAATGAAAAAAACTCAATATGAAAATGAAGACAAATAGAACAATAAAAATACCCAGATTTTTTCAGGCTAGAAAAACCATGACCAGAAATCAAATACTGTCAAGAACAGGGACACATACCTATAATACTAGCACACAGGAAGCTGAGGCAGGAGAACTAGTAAGAGTTTAAGACCAGCCTGAATCACAGTGTCTCAAAAAAAAAAAAAAAAAAAACTAAAAGTTCAAATACCAATACTACTAATTAATCACACAAAGACCTATGCACAGTCTTTTATAATTGTGTAGAACAAAATCTAAATGTCCAGAAAGACTATTTTCACATAATAAAATATGTAGTCCGTAAAAGCAAACATCTTAAAATAATACAGTAAAGTTAAAGCAAGCAGCAAGATGAGAACTCTAGTCCTCAGTTATACACTAAAAGCCTATAAATATGCCTTAAAACATTAAACACATGTTCACACATGCACACATAAACTTTATAAAAATATAGGGTCTGTTCATTCTTTTTTTTTTAGACAGGGTCTTGGTATGTAGCCTGACCTGACCTCAAACTTGCAATTCTTTTTAGTCTCCAAAGTGCTAGGATCACCAGTGTGGCCATGACCAGCTTAATCTTGTTTTCTTTTTTGATATGGTGTCTTGCTATGTTGCCCAGGTTGGCCCTGAATGCTTCTGAGTTTTTGTGATGATCCTGACTCAGCCTCCCAAGTACCTGGGTCTACAGACATTGGTTAGTTCTATTAAAAAAATAAAAGTTCAGCCAGCCATGGTGGCATATACCTGGAATCTCAGCAGTTAGGAGGCTGCTGTGAGTTTAAGGTCAGTCTGAGCCACATACATAGTGAGTACAAGACCAGCCTGGTATATAGCCGGACTTTGTTTCAAAAAACAAAAAAACAAACCAAGAACAAGGCCAGGGATATAGCTCAGTGACATGGTGCCTGCCTGGCAAGCTTAAGGTCTTGAGTTTGAAACTTGCTATGAAGAAGATGAAAAAGACAAAGGGGGAGGGGAAGGGGGAAGATAAAAAAGTAAAGAAAGAAAGAAAAGCTCACCAGGTTTTATGCAGTGCATAATATGTTTCAAAAGGAGGAAAAAAACCCCAGAAACTTCAGTTTAAAAAATATTACGGCCAATTTTTTAAAAAAAGCTTTACAGAGTCAAAGGCAAACACATTGACATAAAGAACTACAAAAACTTTCACAGACTTTACCTAATATATCAGTGACACTTTTAACAGAGATTAGCTATCAGCTGAAAGTAAAGGGTGCATTGTTCCATTCATTTGGCTGTTTGCTGTGGGCAAAGCTACACTTTTTTTTGGAGACACAACTCACTTTGTAGTTCAGCATGGCCTTGAGGTCTTGAGTTCACTATGTTAGGAAGCCTGGCCTCAAACTCACAATTCTCATGCCTTAGCCTTCCAGTGCTGAGATTACAGGTGTATACCACAAGGCCCAGCTACATAATGATTTGAAGCCAACTAACCTCACTGGCCTCTGTTCCAGTAGCACTGCTCTGAGAAGCCACTTCATTTCCTTCCTGAAGCTTTTTCTCTTCTTTCACACCTATATTCAAAGACATCATTGTTATTTGGGTGGTACCTTTATGAAAACAAGTTAAACAATACTTCTTCCCATGCCTCACCAGACCTGCCCTTAAGGCAACCTGACCCAGCCAAAAAGAAAAAAAAAATCCTCCTTAACAACACTTCTCTTTATGAGTAATAAAAGACTGTGACATAGAAAACTGTAAAGTCTCAAAATATACATTAAAACATCAAATGTCTATACAGTGTTACTTTAAGCAAAGAACTTCATTGAATCTAGTGATTTTCAAAATTGAGGCAAGGTTGTCAAAGAACCAGACCATGCGGCACACTATTCTTTGGGCTACTGCTTGAAGTAGGACTACAGACCTGTTTTTTTGGTGATTCGGAGCATTCGCCTTGTCCCCGGACTGACCTCAGTAGGCGTCTGGGAACCAGTGCTGCCCTCACAGCTCTGCTGTACCCTCAGTGCCTTCTCCAGTTTAATTTCTTCCAGAGTCTTAATGTGCACCTCCTGCATAGACTTTGTTCTACCTGCAGGCTCCTCTGATTGTCCTTTGCTGACAGTGATGGGTGGCAAAATCACTGTTTTCTTAATTTCACTGTCAGTCTTTAGTTTGATGCAAGTTGCATCCTTTTTGCTTTTTTGTCTCTCTGTCTCCTGCTGCCGATGTTTTTTTTCAGCTAGGACCTCAGAGAAGGTTTTGATTCGGACACTGGAGGAGCTTTTTGTTCCTGGTGTACAATCATCAGGCTTTGCAGGTCCTTCTGTCTTGAGTTTTGTTTGCAATTCGCCACGTTTTTGACTGGCTCTTTCAAGAAGAATTTCTTCTAATGTCTTCACATGGATGTCACCAATTTTATTAACTCTCTCTGTTTCAGAGGAAAAAAGTCATAGTTGGAGTTTAATGACTTATTTAACCTCTTTACCACTGGATTAATACAGTATAATACATAGGTATCATTTAGGCAATTAAAATGATCCAAAGTATCACATTAGTTTCACTATTTATTTATTTTTATATATATTTGGTAGAGGGTCTCACTACTCAGCTCAGACTGGTAATGATCCTTCTGTATTCAGCCTCCATAGTGCTGGAATTACAGGCATGTGCCACCACACCCAGTACATCCAGAGGTGGGGCTGGCGGGGGCATGTGGGCCAGGGATCGAATCCCAGTTCCTGCACTTGCCTAAGCAGGTACTTAGTCCCCTGAGCTATTTTGCCAGCCCAACACTCAATTTTATTTATTTTTTTTGGTTTGCCAAGTACCTTTATTGTATAATCTTTAACATCTAGTATATTTATTCTACATGGTTCTATGCTGAAAATCTGCTATACAAAAATGAAGGGATTTGATATTTACCTAAACTACACAATTTCACAATCTAAAACTGTAATACACTTAACATACAGTTTCTACTAAGCCAATATAATTATTTGGATAGGTAACTAGATACAATCAAAATAAACACTGATGATAAATTCAACCAATATGGTTTCAGGTCTAAAAATACATTACCTTGAATCATCTATATTTGATGTGTTAAAATTTAAGTTATGATGTTTGAAGTGTGAAGAAAATTATAGGAAAACAATTTCTTTTTAAAAAATAATGAAAGGTTTAGACAGTTATCTCCTATTCCATATGGGGCAATCCATTTAAACTACCTGAACATTAATACTATACTACACTTGATTCTTTCATTGCAAAGAATAAAATTTAAAAAGAAATATTTTGTTGCATTTGGACTATACATTTTACTTAGAAGGTTAAAAGTTTTTTATAAAGAATCTGTGCATAGAATCATCAATGTTTCACAGGCATATATATAAACACATTGTGCTTCTTCTGTGCCCGCATCATCAAGTTTGAGGAATTATATCAGTTATCTCCAAATTAACAACTTTAAAGCTCAGGAAGTCCATAGCAAATATTTTTTAAATATTTACAACGCATAAATACGGTTTTGTAAGAACCACCAAGTTAATGATAGCCTGGTGGAACAACGAGCCAAATCTCTTCACACCCCGCTCAGAGACTTAGAGGGGCACAGACCACAGGAGATAGAAGAGGCCAGAAAGCTTTGTCTTTTTGTACATTGTGGACAGAAAAACCCAAAATGTTGAAAGCAGATAAAAGTTTAGTAGGTCACAGCCATTTAGCCATGGGAGGTCCTTAAAAGAAAGAAAAGGTATTTGGTGCCTGTTTTGGAAATGAATGCAGTTTCCCCCACTAAAGACATACAGTGCAACACTCAATTTTAGATTACTGCATATTTCAGGTTGTCACAGCCCCACTCAAAAGCTCTCAAGAGGCAAGATCCCTTGAGCTGTATTTCCATTCACAATCTTAAGTCTTACAAGTTGGTGAACTCTGTCACCATAAACCTCACCAATCAGATATATCTCAGTACTTGTTGTATTTTGTTCTGCAACTTGTGACCTCTGCCAAAATTGATACAGACTAACTGGATTTTTGCTATAACAAATTATGTCAATAGGAATAATTCATGGACATTTCTCAGAACTTTCACATTATACTGGTTAACACTGGCCTTTTTCTGGGCTAAGATAAGCCTTTAAGACTTACGGGTATCCCCCAGCTGCTGTGCCTGCCCTGTCCCTGGGGCGCTGAGACGTAACTGAGACTGAACGTGGTGGTGTGCACCTGTAATCCAAGCTCTTGGAAGGCTGAACACAGGCGGATCACTACAATTCCAAGTTACATAGGAGACCCTGTAGACCATTACTAAAAAAAATATAATAATAATAATAAATAAATAAAGACAGGTATCATTCTTAACCTTTTTTTTTTTTTTTTTTTTTTTGTGGAACCAGGGATTGAACTCAGACCCTTGCACTTGCCAGGGAAGCACTTATTCCACTGAGCCATCTCCCCGGCTCCATTTTTAACCTTTTTATAACCATGATTACCCCTTAAAATACACAAAAGTAAAAGATAGTGCCAGGTATGGTGGCACACACCTGTAATCCCAGCACTTAAGAGGCTGAGGCAGGAGGAATAGTTCAAGGCCAGCCTAGACCACATGGTGAGTTTCAAGGCCAGTCTGAATGTAAAATAAAGTCCATACATAATGAGACCTTCTCAAAGAAAACCCCCAAAAAACAACAACAAAAAGTACAAATAACAAGGCAAGTTAGCCAGACTCTGTATCAGGAAAAAAAGGCAGGGAGATGTAGCTCAGCTGTACAATGCCACTACGTCCCATCCCTAGCACCAAAAATTGTATAATTTGGAGATTTACACTTACATAAGGTAATCAGTGAATTACAACTTTTAATGAGATTAAAAATACAACGTATTCTGTCACTCTCTGAATCCTACATATGTACTCTCTTTACTCTCTCTTCTATTTGGAATATTCCCCATGATACTTTTCTTTTTGGCTGCCTAGTTGGCTTTAATAGGGGTCAGCTGAGAATCTGACATCCTCCAATCTTGCTTGTTTCTCTGATCACACAGTACTCTAACTGCCTACACCTCTGAACACACACCTCATGAGAACAGTGAATATATTTAGTTCTTTGCAGCATAATACAGTATTTGTTACAAAGGGTAACAGTCCAAAGCTTACTGAAACATCTTCCTAAGACTTTTAAAAAAATAACTGTAAATTTGCCCACTTCAAGATGGCAAACTGTTCTCAGAAGTACCACTCCAAGTAGGACATGAATGGCAGCATGGTTCCCTACCAAAATTTGATTGAAACAATACAGAACACATTTAAAATAAAAGTCCATACTAATCCTGAAAAAGTATGATGCTCCTGGCAAACTATAATTCTTAAGAGAATTTCTCAGATAAACATAGATATAGATGTCTAAGATGCACATGATGGCACATGCTTATAATTTTAGCCTCTTGGGATGCTGAAGCAGAAAGAGCACAAATTCTGGGCCAGCCTACCTAGACCCCGGTCTCAAAATTTTTTTAAAAGCTCAGTGCAGCAGCAGTAGCCACTAAACTGCCACTGCTCTCTAATGCCAGTGCTGCCCTTTGCCTACCAAACAGACTGCCCGTAAATCCACCAGTGGCAAGGCACCCAGAAACAACTAGCTACAAAAGCTGCTCATAAGAGTGTACCCTCGGGCTGGGGAGATAGCTCAGTAGAATAAGCGCTTGCCTGGCAAGTGCAAGGTCCTGAGTTCATTCCCCAGTACCACACACACAAAAAAGTGTAAAACCTTTGGGGCCAGGGAGTTGGCTCAGTGGAATAAGCGCTTCCCTGGCAAGCACAAGGGCCTGAGTTCAATCCCCAGTTCCGCCAAAAGAAAAGAAAAGAAAAGAAAAGAAAAGAAAAGAAAAGAAAAGAGTGTACCCTCTAATGGAGGGGTGAAGACACTTCATCGTTACAGGGTTGGGACTGTGGCACTCGGTGAAATTAAGACATTCATCAGAAGTCCACTGACCTTCTGACTCAAAAACTTCCTTTCCAGAGTGTGATTCAAGAAACAGCTCAGGACTTCAAAACAGATCTGTACTTTCAGAGCACAGGTATCGGTGCTTTGTAGGAGACAAGTGAGGCCCATCTGGCCTGTTTGAAGATACCACCTTGTGTGCCAGCCACGCCAAAAGTGTAATAATTATGCTAAAAGATATCCAACTAGCATAACACATATGAGGAGAACATGTTTAAGAGTCCACTATAGTGGGAAAGATTTCATCCTCAAAGAATTTTTTTCTTTTCTTCTTGTTATTCGTAGTTGCAAATGTTAGGTTCTTTTTTTCCCATGGGGTTAAAAAGTACCTAAGTACATGACTGCGAGTGGAAAACAGGGAACAGAAATCAGGTATTGGAAGTTTTCCCATTTTTATTTGTGTGTGAATTTTTAATATTCATGTGAAGATGTGAAGCATTAATGCAAGTCAAAATGTTTCAATGAACAAGTTTCAGCACTCCAACTTTATAAACAATTATAAATAAAAATGTTAAATTTTTCTGGAAAAAAAAGCAAAAAGCAAAACAAAAACCCAACTCAGTGCAAAGGCCCTGGATTCAAGCCCCAGTACTCCAAGAAGGGCTGGGAAGAAAAAGGCAAGTGTATGAATTTATACAGATATGGAAAAAGAATAGCAGATCTGAGATCTGCTCTTCCTAACAAAACTAAACTGCCTAATATGGGTTAACCAGTTTAAAAACCAAGAGTGGGCTGCTCTAGGATAACTGTTAGGACAGAAATTTATGGACCAGGAAAAAAAAAAAGAAAAAAATTTAAGGACCAGACATGTAGGTCAGAAGAGTATTTACCTAAAACATGCAAAGGTATGAATCTGAACCCCAGAATATGGCACACACACACACGCACTGCAAATTTAACAGCTACCTAAAGAACAGTTAAGCCAGTTATGACCTTCTAAGAACAGCTCCCTAAGAAAAAGAGAATTTACCCAAGAAGAGCACATTATGAAGATATTAGGGCTAGAAAAAATAAATGAAAATTTTAGGCATTCACAAACACCAAGCAAAACACGTGGGATGGGGGAGAGTAAAAAGCAAAGCAAAAAAAGGAAAAATATTACAGCCTCTCCGAATAAAGAGTCTTTCTGACTAAAGCAACTCTAAATGGGCCCAGCCTTCCTGCCTACAAGCCACACAAGTGGCCTTTTGATACACCTTCTTCAATTGGGCAGAGGTAAATCAGTGGCCCAGTCAGGAAAGAGATCTACTTGGAAATAGGCCTTTCAGACCAAAAAGGAAACCCAGGCCAAACATTTCAAACTGCAGAAAAGCATTAAAAATAAAGAGAAATAAGAATTCAAAATAATACACACACACATACAGATTTTAACAATAGATTCAGGAAGTGGGGGTATGCTGAGTTGAGTAGTGTTTGCCTAACACACATGAAGCCCTGGGTCTAAGCGCCCCTCCTTTTTTTTTGGCAGAACCAGGGATTGAACTCAGGCCCTTTTGCTTGCCAGGGAAGCATTTATTCCACTGAGCCATCTCTCCAGCCCCCTGGGTCTGAGTCCTAGCACCACAATAAACAAAACAAAAAACCCAACCTCATCCAAAACAACAACAACAAACAATCAGAGTAAAATTAGAAATTCCACAGAAACTTTCTTTCAGGCTTGAAAAAAGAAGAACTCATGGAACAAAACAGAAAAACAGTAACTGCTAAAATAAACTCATTTGAAAGACTAAATACAAGACTGGTCTAAAATCAGCTGTTTAAGACAGGGTGGGCAAACTAGCCAAATTTGGCCACTGCCTAATTTTATAAGTAAGTTTTGTCAGACCACTGCCACACTCATTCATTTACAAGTGCCTATAGTTCCTTTCACATTATAATGCCAGACTTAGCCACAAAGTCTAAAATAGTTTTTGTTTCTTGTGGTGTTGGGGATGAACCTAAGGCTTTGTAGTGCTAGGCAAAGCATTCTACCACTGAATTATACCATTCTAGACCACAGCCTAAAATGTTTTCTACCTGACCCATTACAGAAAATCCTTTGTCAACTTCTGATTTATAGTAAACTAAAAACACAGTTCACAGAAGGTAAGACTAAAATAAAGGGATGGAAAGTACAAAGGCAGGATCAAGATATATGAAGCATCATGTATCAAAGTTTCAACATTGCTTTCCAAGAATTTTGTAAGAGGAAAAAAGAAAGTGGAGAGAATAGATTCAAAATTTGAGGAATGTTTTCTATGACAAATTCTTAGATTCAAAGGTCCCACTGAATACTCCATAATGATGCGGGCTTAGATCCACCACCACAGAGTTGCAGCACACCAGAGAAAGGTACAGAGAAAACTCTAAAAATTTCTGGAGGCTATCTACAAAAGGAAAAGAAAATCCAGCTGGGTATGGTAGAACACGCCTTTAATCCTTGCACCTGACAGAATCACTTTGAGTTCAAGGCCATCCTGGGCTACAAAGTGAGTTTAAGGCTAGCCTGAACTGCAGAGCATAACCCTGTCTCAGACAAGACAAGACAAGACGAGACGAGACAAGAGACAAGACAAAGACATTCAATATCATATTCCTTTTAGAACAGTACTTTAACAGTAATATTCATACTAGGAACTATGTCAACTCCAAAGTTCAGGTTTCAAACTTATTTATCAAACACAAAAAGCAACACATTGAAGCCTACAAAATATAAAAAAGCTGGACAGTTAGGGTTATAACTCACTGGTAGAATGCTTGCCTAAGAGGCACAATGCCCTGGGTTCAATCCCGAGCATGACTACAAAACAAAAGGCTGGGTAGTTAAATGGATGTCCATTTTATTATTCTTTAAATTATGAGATTTGTATGTTTACGTGAAACACATTAATTTTTAAAATGATTTCCTCAAAATACTCTCCTTCCGCTCAGATAAATTTATCCCGTTATTCTTGCCACTTTCAGAAGCAGTTCTATAAATCCTCTCTCATGTCTTTAATTTCATTATGGGCGTTTCATCCTTAAATGCTTCAAAATCGGATGTTGTTTTTGTTTGGTTTGGGTTTTTTGAGACAGGGTCTTGCCACGTAACGCAGCCTGGCCTTAAACCCACTGTGTAGCCCAGGTGTCTTAACTTTGCAGCAATCCTCCTGCATCAACCTGCCAAGTGCTGGAATCACACCTGTGTGTCACCACACAAAAACGTTTACTAGAAAATCTTTTGTCAACTTCTGATCTATAGTAAACTAAAAACATAGTTCACAGAAGGTAAGACTAAAAGGGATGGAAAGTACAAAGGCAGGATCAAGACATATATGACACATACTTTCATCTGGACAATAAGGTGGATGTGGACACACGGTAGTTTTTTTGATGGCATACTACAACAAGACTCCCTGTATTTTTTTAAATCACACCTTATATACAACAGAGTACATGTTTTTGAGAATAATTTTTTTGGTAAGAAATGTCTTTTAAAAAAGCAAGCCAGGCACAGTGATGCATGCTTGAAACCCCAGCTACTTTAAGAGGCTGAAGGACAGGGGTCTCAAGTTTGAGGATAGCCCAAGCAACTTAGCTAGATCCTGTCTGCCTCAAAAAAAAAAAAAAAAAAAAAAAAAGTGAAAGGGCTGAGGATATAGCTCAGTGTAGCATCTCTGTATTCCATCCCCAAGACTCCTACACGATGCTCTTTTATGGTCTTTCTTCACTTGATACAATGAAATTTAGCTGTCTGTAGGATTATTGTTAAGAACATGACCTTTTTATGGTGCTAAGAGAAAAACCCAAATTTGTATGTATTAGACACTGAGACTTATTACCGGCAAATAAGAACATGACTCTTTATGACAAACTATTTTAGCAGGTGATTACAGTAATTATCTAATTCCACTTTGTTGGATATCCCATTACTGATTGTTCATCATTAAACACAATACAGGAATTTATGCCAGTAAGTAATTAGCAAAGAATAATTTTGTAACTTTGAGTACCTGTTGTCTCCTCACTATTTGACCCAGCTGATACGCCTAATCGCTCCTTCAGAGACTTGGAAACTTGAACTATAAAAAAGGAAAAAAAAAGTTAAAATTTAAAATTTGAACAGAATAGGTTAAGTATTTTTTTTCAAAGTTCATAAATTAGGTTATTTTTAGATTTTTGTTTTTAATCTGAAGGTCTTAAGCTTTTATTCTACCCAGAGGAGATTAACATGAGTTATAAATTCCCTAGAGCACAGTGGAAATAGGGAGAAAGGGGATCTGAAAAGCAAAAACTACTGAATTAAAAATTCAAGGAAATAACTATTACTATACAACATTCTAAAATCTTTTGGCATCAATAGGTTTTCTTCCCCTAAATTTGTTTGAAACATGTTAACTACTTATGAGATTCTTTGGTATTACTGACTCAGAAGGCAGAAGGGAATCTGGCAAAGAGACCCTCTAATTACTCTGAGCACATAAGAAGTCTCCAAATGGGAACATCTGCTGATCAAAGGCTTCTGGACTAGAAAAACATGTACAAAGTACTTACTTATCCTCACCAAAAATTTAAGTGCAACAAAACAACAATTTCTTATCCTTTAGTAACCAGTTCAACAATGTAATTAGTGTTATATTGTTAATTTGTATGAGGGAAACAAAACTCAACCCTTGACTTCTTTCATATATACCATCCCCAACTCCCAAATCTCTATCAAGTTGTAGAACACTAAATCTATTACACTATCTCCCTTTTCCTGGATTAACAGTTTGCTAATGCTAATAGCACTCTGTTTCCTTATCTTTTCCCCACACTGCAGGCAGGGAGAGCACTTGTGAATTTCAAATCTGATCTCTTGATGCCTGTTTAAAACCTTTCAATGGCTTCCTACTACCCTGTCATAGTTACGACTTTTATCTAGTTGTCTCCCTAAAGCCTCTTAGGGCAGAGCTGGCTCAAGGTGCAGCAAGTGGCTTGAGGGGTGTGGCCAGAGGACCAGGGCAGGGCTTGATGGGGGGGGGGGAACCAGAGAGGCACAAACCATTAAACTGGCAGCATGCACTCTGCATCACCACCCCTCCACCAGGCCAGCGGCCTCCCCTGGAAATGTGGAATGGGTCATCCAGGACAGGGAAGCACCACAGCCTCTCCTCCAGAGGTGGCGATGTCTGTGATTGAGGCCACCTCGGGCAGAGAAGAGATGTTTGGAGAAGACAGAGGCACTGACCCTCTCTCTTGAGCAAATAAGGCTCCAAGGTCTTGCTACGTATTTGAGGCTGCTTTAAACTGCAAAACCTCCAGTAATTGTGAGCTAAATAAATAAACCTGTCTTTCCCTCATTTTGAGTGTCGGGTATTTGTCCCAGCAACAAGAGAAGAGTAACTAAGATAGGCCCAAACTCTCTTTAAATGGCTTTAATATTCTCTAATGATCCAGTTCCTTCTCAAGTCACCACACCCTTCACCCCAATTCTATGGGTTAGCTACACTCAGTTTCTCAAGCACATCATACTTCCTCAGCTCTGGCACACTGCAGGGATTATTACCTGTCTGGGTCCACACTTCAAAAACACATCCTCCATGAATCTTTCCCTGACAGATGGCAACATTACATACCCTTCCTATGTGTTCCCATCCTACCATGCATTTCCTATCACAGAATTCATTACAGTATCTCTACCTGCCGTTATACTGCAAGTTCCTAAGGGCTGTGATGCCATTTATTATGTTCAGTGGTGTATAACCCAGATCTACCAGAGTTAGCACTCAAATGTTTCCTGAATGATTAACAGACACCAAAAAATAACCTAGTTAGCCTCAACAGGATGACAAGCCACACTTGTTAACATTACAAGTGTCAGGGTCACACACACAGGCATACAGTGTGTTAGAACATGGATACCTACCTTTCTTTGTTGTTTTATCAGTATTGGTTTCTGGAGCTTCAATTTTCTTCCCCAGCCTCTGTGCCAGACTCCGCTTTAATGGGGGATCACTATCACCACCTACAAATGTGGGGAACTTCGTTTTAAGATTTCAAGAAATATAATAAGAAAGATGCTAAAAAACAGGGAGCTAGTCAGGGAGATGGGAGGGTAAGGGAAGTAAAGGCTCAAGATGTGATTTATATACGTACCAATAGACCACATAAATATGGCATGTATTGTGAACATGCATTAATATAAAATTTTAAAAGAAAACAATAAGCAAAATCAGATAATAGAGAGTATTTCTCTAAATTTTCTGCATTTATATGGTGTATGTATACACTAACTTCCATAAGAACTCAATATTAGAAAACTAATAAAAATATCATGGAGGAGCTGGTGAGATGGCTCAGTGGTCTAAAGCACCAACTTAGAACAAGCTCAGCAAAGCACAGGGACCGCGGTTCAATCCCCCAGCACCACATGCCAGCCAGCCTGCCCCCTGGTGGGCTGAGCTGGCCACACACACACACACACACACACACACACAAATAAATAAAATTAAAAAATATATATATATATCATGGAGGGGCTAGTGAGATGGTTCAGTAGAATAACTGCTTGCCTGGCAAGCTTAAGGGTCTGAGTTCAATCCCCGGTTCCGCAAAAAAAAAAAAAATCATGGAAAGAGGATACACAAATGAATTCCTATCAAATAACTAAGACTACCAGTGGAGGTTTAAATTCAGAATTAGGAATACGAAAAATATGCGCAAAAAAATCTTAACTGGCCGGGAAGCTGGCTTAGCAGAATAAGCGCTTTCCGGGCAAGCGCAAGCACCTGAGTTCAATCTCCAGTTCCACCAAAAAAAAAAAAAAGTGCAAATTGTTTTGGGGCTGGGAAGATGGCTCAGTAGAATAAGTGCTTGTCTGGCAAACTCAAGGACCCGAGTTCAATCCTCGGTTCCGGGGGAAAAAAAAAATCTTAACTGGCACATACTTTTAAGTTTTCCTGTGCCTCAGGAAATCTGGAAGCCAGATAGCCTTTCTCTTCAATTTCAGGTAAGAAACCTAAGGTTTCAACTGGGCTTGGTGGCACATGCCTGTAATCCTGGCATTCAGGAGACTAAGGCCATAAATTTGAGGATTGTGATGAGTTTGGGGCCAATCTGAACTACAAAGGGAGACCCTGCTTCAGAGAGTCAAAAGGCCAGTTGGGTAGAATGGTGCATACCTATAATCCCAGTGCTTGGGATGCTGAGGCAGGAGCCTTGCTATGAATTTAAGGCCAGCCTAAACTATATAGTGAGACATTGGCTCAAAAAAAAGGAACAGCCAGATAGCTCAGCAGACTAAAGTGCCTACTCAGGCAGAGCACAGTGGCCAGAGTTCGATCCTCTGTGTGCCATGCTGGCCCCGCTCTCAGGGCATGCTGAAACGCAACTGAGACTGGGCATGGTGGCGCATGCCTATAATCCCAGTGCTTGGAGGCTGAAAACAGGAGGATCACTACAAGTCCGATCTGTGTAGTGAAACCCTATAGACCCTGTACTAAATACATTTAAAAAAAGGAACTAAAGTTCTGAAACATTGTCTACCTTATCCAAGATACTAACTGGTTACTGATAAAACTCAAGATCTGAAGCAAGTGTCTTGACTTAGTTTGTTAGTTATTCAAAGTCACATTTAATCATTGTTTTAAATTTCCGTAATTTCAATAAAAGGTAAATATTCACATGAAAAACACGGGAAAATTTTATAAGTACTTTCAGTCAAATACCCAGGGGATCTGGCAAAACCAACACTGATGGCATTTGTAAAAAGACAGGAGAAAATGGCTAATGTAGAAACAAGCATAAAATAAAAGATACACACAAAGCTGTATCTTACCTTCTGAAAGTTTTCGTTTCCCTAGTCTCTCAGTAAGACTCAGTCTAACCAAGGGTTCTTCTCCTAAAAGGGGAAAAACAGAATTTGTCTAGTATGATCCAAGTTTTCTGTATTCAGTAGCTACTGATAGGTACAAAGTATGTTCTACAACTAGCTTGAGTCCACCCAGGAAGTGTCTTGAAAATCAGGTCTCAATCTTAAGGAAGATTATCACATTTAAAACAAAACCTCAAGAATTTAAACAAATGCAGCCAAAACAAAAGCAATAGCACAGTATTAAACATTAACAGCAGCCAAGCAGAAGACAGATTGTTCTTAACAACCAGTAATAAAGTCCCAAGCTGTACTTTCCTGTGTACTTTGCTAAGTTACATGACTCCATCACCCCAGCAACACAGGGCTCTTCCTGCTGATTCTTTGTTGAATGGCATAAACATTTAAATGTGGGCCAGGGAGATGGCTCAGTGGAGTAAGTGCTTCTCTGGCAAGCGCAAGGGCCTGAGTTCAATCCCCGGTTCCGTCAAAATAAATAAATAAATAAAATAAAGACTGAGCTGAATAGACCTTTAAAAAAAAAATTTAAATGTATCTGTACACTGCAAATTATTTATGTTCTATTTTGTACTAGATTTAAAACTAGAACTTCATTTTTCTTTAACTCAAAGGGTTCACTTATAGTTTTACCCACAATGTGAAATCAGCAAGTTTGCTGAATGCAACAAATGAACAGCAAATGTGAAAATTTATATGTAAAAACAAAGGCTGCTTTAGCAAGATTATCACTATTTTATTAGGGTCTACTATAACCTATCTCTTACCCACATTACTGAGAATTAAGTCCAGGTCTTTTGTACCACCTTTTAAAAAAAATTTTTTTTTTCACTTTTTAAAATTTTTATTTTTATTTAAATTTATTTTTTTTTTTTTTTTTTCGGAACCAGGGATTGAACTCAGGTCCTTTTGCTTGCCAGGCAAGTGCTTATTCCACTGAGCTATCTCCCCAGCCCCCAAAATTTTTATTTTTTAAAGAGTAAAAAGCAATATCAAAACTGAAAAATTACAAATGACAAAATGTCACTAACCAAAATATGCATTTCACAGTATTTGTTGTATTATATAGTTTTGTCTTCAAATTAGTTATTCATATTACCAGATACAGGAATACAAAATTGAAAGAAAAAAGTCTGTAAGAGAAAGGAAAAACAATTGAAAAAAGGAGAAAAAAACAGACCCAGAGCACAGACCCGGAGAGTGAGTGAGACAACCTGGGCCGTGGGATCCTGAATAGACCCAGAGTGCAGGCCCGGGCCGCGGGATCCTGAATAGACCCAGAGCGCAGGCCCAGTGAGTGAGTGAGATGACCGGGGCCGCGGGATCCTGAACAGACCCAGAGCGCAGGCCCCGCGAGTGAGTGAGACGACCCGGGCCGCAGGATCCTGAACAGACCCAGAGCGCAGGCCCGGCGAATGAGTGAGACAACCCGGGCCCATGGATCCTCATTCGACCCAGGCTGCAGGCCCAGCAGGGAACCCTTCAGCAGAACTCCCTGCAAAGAGGCTAGAGGCAAGACCCACCCAGCTGATTCAGGAGCAGCACATCTTCCCAGAGAGACACAAAGGGTTCAACTCTACCTCCTGCAGCAGAAAGAAGTGGAGCACAGCAGCCAGATCCAAACAACACCCACCTGGAAGAATCTGAATTTCGTAGATCTGGACCTGGTGCTAAGGTAATAACTCTAAGCTCTACACCAAAGGTCAAAAGACAGTGGTATACCAAATGACAAAGAGAAGGAATAAAATGCAGTCTCAGGCCCCAAGTCCACCCAGTACAAATGCAGAAGACACTAACACTGAGGAAACTGGAAATCACACACCAGGTATCTCGGAAATAATAGCATTGACAGTAAATAATCAACTGCAGAAAGGTATAGAAATAATTTTGGAACTAAAAAATGTAGTGGTAACTATAATCAAAGAAGTACTAAGTGCTTCTAAAGAATACACTGA